TCCCATTAGGAGAAGCAGCTTTATATAGCAGCTAAGTGGATGGACATTGGGTCCAGACTGTCTGGCTTTGCAATCTGGTTCTTCCATGTAGTAGTTTTGTAGCTTTGGACAACTTTCCTAATCAATTTTGCCTTCTTTTACTAATTTGAATAATGGGGATGGTGATGGCACATACCTACTAGAGGAATGTTGTAAGGATTAAATACATTAATACCTGTCAAGTTTCCAACAGAGTATTACACGGAGTAAAACCTATGTATGTTTGTTATCACTGCTTTGTTACTTCTCTACTTAGAATGCTAAAACTGTTTGCATATTTTTTCTCAAAGTAAAAGCTAAAATTCTTCTGGTGGCCTTGTATGACTCATCACAATCTGGCCTCATCACCTCTCTGACATCATACATCATCTCCTACTACTCTCTTCCTTACTCACTCAGTTCCAATCTGGCTTCCTTGATTTTCCTCCAAAGTGCCAAATTTGCTCCTGCCTAGAGGCTTTGTCGCTGGCTGGTGCCACTTTCTGGATTTTTCTTCCCAAAGATATCATCTCAATTGTGAACTCTCTCATCCCCTTCTTTGGACTTTGTGACATATTTACTGAGCTATCCTCCTTACTGTTGTAGCCTCTCGCTACACACTTAATCCAGCACAAAATATTTTATTAGTTGCTTGTGTCCCTGTGTTATGTTACAGCCTATGATAGCAATGGAATGTTCTCATTACTCTAGTACATTACTGCTTCAAATAGCCCTAACTACCAGATAGAGAAAAAAAATTCACCAACATAGAAAGTTCACACCAGGTGTTGAGGGATGTGTGGATTTTCTCCAGTAAGTACTCTGACAGGTATTATATGATAAAAATGACAGTCTGAATTACTGACATTGAGTTTGGCTTCTTAAACTCAGTGAGGATATTGTGACCCCAGGGTAACAGAGACTAAATAACAATACGTAAGCAACAAAGACAAAGTGGGTAAAGTTACTGTAGTAAAGGGGAGAGTAGATCAGTAATCAGAATAATCTTACCCACAGAGATAATACAAAGGACTATATTAATGCTCTAGCCCTGTGTCATTCATAATCTAGTCTGCAGGTAGCTTAATTGCCACTTCACTTCACAGGACATTATTTTATTCCACAGGATACTGACTCATTACATTGATGCTATCATGCTAATTGGACCTAATGAATAAGCTGTAGCAACTATCTTAGACACTGTGGTGGGATGCATGCCACAGGATGTGAAATAAACTCTACACAACTTCAGAGGTTATCTTCTTTGGTGAATCAGCTAGGCATCTAGAGGTCTACAGTATATTGAAAAATCCCTTTCAGGCCTCAAGTACTATTAAGAAATAGGTATAATGATTACCAGGATTTTTTTAATTCTGAAAGCAACATATACCTTATTCAGGAATACAACTTCTACCTATTTACTGAGTGGCTTAAAGGCTGCCAGTTTTTAGCAGGCCCCAGAACAAGAATAGACTCTGCAACAGGATCAGGTTGCTGGGCAAGCTTCTCTGCCCCCTGGTCAATACCGCTCAGCATATCCAATGGCACTGCTAGTGACTGGCAAATCAGGATGCTGTGTGGAGCATTTTAAGGCTCATATAGGTGATGTATTAGCTTATATTTCCTTCTTATTCCTATAGCAAATAGTTTATTGAGCCTAAAACGGATTCTGATCTTAAAATGAGCTCCATACAGGTATACCTGAAGTAGCTGGTGGCTGGTCGCCTCCTGGGGACTATTCACATGAGGAAGAAGTGGCCTTGAGTAAGAGAATTTAGGTATACAGCATGCGAGGAGAAAGTGAGATGACTGGGAGAGAGGGTGGATGTGTTTAAGCCTGGGCAGAGAAGCAGGACCGTTGATTGTTATATTTTATCTATGCCAGGGGCCTAGGTCCTAAAGTCCAAACCCTTTAGAAAGACTATGGTATCCAGCTACAGAGGACATTTCCAAAACAAGAGGCAGCATAGTTTTCTGTGCTTAAGTAATGAAATGTGATAAGGAGTAAAGAAGGGGAAGGGATAATAAACAATTATTTAAAGTGGACAATGTGTAACATTTGTACATTCAAAGGTTTCAGAGGGCTTACATGTCATCTATAAAAATGTTTGAGCTGAACTAAATAAAATAAGAATAAACATCTGGACTATAAGAGAAATTAATGATTACCAGAAGGGGAGGTGGAAGGGAGGTGGGTGAATTGGGACAAAGGGGACAATGCGTGGTGAAAGAACTAGACGTTTAGTGGTGAACTTAAGTAGTATATGCACCTTGATTCTAAATCATGCACATCTCAAATTTATATGTTATAATGCAATGTTACTTTAATAAACTAACAACTTAATGAAAAATATATTTGAAAGGTTTAAATTAATTAGTAAACCATTAAATACAATATCTTATTCTAATACTATGAAAAATTTACCTTCATAAATGACCTGATAGACTGGGGTCAGATTTAGGACACTGAGTATATTTTCGTAATATTTTTTCTTATTTATCGAGATAATTTAAAAACACAAACATGTCAGTAACAGGTGTAAGTTTGGAATGGTGGATTGGGTGAAGTTCAATATTTACTACAACTATCTATCTGCATACCTGGAGTCCCCAGGGATCCCCTCTGCTGGGTGTAGAAGGAAGTCATAGGTCCTGCCCAATTCAAGGGCAAGAATACGAATGCTAGTGTTTGGGATTACTGAGCATTAGCTTAGGGTCTGGCTGCCAAATTTGTACTCCCCAAAGTTCCATTCCAGTGATGTGAGTAGAACAGGTTCCCCTACCTCAGATCTCTGGTCCACACCCAACTCCTAGTATTCAGCCTGCCCCTCCTCTATGTATCCTGAGCTTCCTCTCACACTAAGAGAGGCTTCCAAGCACATATGTGGATGACGTAGCCAACCTGCCCCCCCATTTCCTGCATATAGCCAATACCTCTTGGTTTCCTCTCAGTTCTTGGAGTAAAATATTGATAGTACCACTTAACCCTCAGAAGCGCAGACCTGGTGAAGAGGAACATTCAGCACTCTTGGGGCTTGGGACATGGCACCACTTGAAGTGGATGCCTTGCATCCATGTTTAAGTTAGACATTTGCATTATAAAGAGAACTGTCAGGTTCTGTCAGCCAACTATCAGGTTTTACATTACAGAAACACTTAAGATTTTAAAGCCCACATAGATAATTTAATATAACATGTACTGAATATATGCAGAAACACACACGCGTGCTCACATATGCAGACAAGAACACTGCCAGCATGGTATGAAGCAAACAGAACCAATACGAAGTCTTCTAAATGATACCACAAAGATACCCTACTTGAACTGCTCTTTCATTAAACAATGGTGACCAAAACTCTTACACATTTTTTTTTTGCTCTAGCCATAAGAGATACTGCATGTTGCTACATGATAACACATTTTAAAATGTCAACACCAGTGACAGAAAAGGGTTGTGGATCCATTACAATAACTTCAGTTTAACAGACCTTTATGAAGCACCCATTAAGAAAAAAAGAGTGCTAGGTTCTGTCAAAGACACAAATAAAACCCCGTAAGATTTTAGCCATTCAGAAGCTCACTCTTTAGTGGGTGGAAAGATATATGCATACAAATACTGTTAATATACACTAGGTTAAGAGACATGCTACCACAGCAAATAGAAAAGGGACCTGATGCTAAGTAGCAAGCACTCAGGCAGCCTTTAAATGAACCTGGAAAAAAGGCCTTCTACCCTCAAAGACTTGGCCCTCCCCTTTAATCTTCTACTCTGGTCAAATACAATTTCCACTTTTTGTTTTCCTTCAACAACTTACAGATATTAGCTTATTTTTTCCATTTCCTCTTAATTTTAATTAGAAAATATCTTAGACCTATACAAAAGTACAGATAATACTACATCCGTGCACCTATCACCCAATTTAAGAAACATAAGACTACAAATAAGTTAAAAACTCAATTGTACCCTTCCACAATTCAGTTCTTCCCTGCTATCCATAAAATTTATCGCATTTTATAATTTTTTTTTTTTTTTGCTTAGAAGATCTGGGGTGTAGGCCGGAGGTGGGGTGTGTGTGTGTGAGAGGATTCACCAGAGACAGAGTGGGGAGCTGAACGGGCATATCTACTGAAATACACTGCAGAGGGGAGCAAAGGGTGGGACAGGAGAGGTCTGCTCTGCCACTTGTGGGTTAACTTGCTACCTGGGGATTGAACTCAGGCCATAGTGGTGACAGTGCTGAGTCTTAACCCCTAGGCCACCAGGGAGGCCCTTCCCTAAAATTTAAACAGTCCTGCTGACACCTTGATTTCAGGTTTCTGGCCTCCAAAATGTGAGAGAATACATTTCTTTTGTTGTAAGTCATTTGGTTTGTGGCAATTTGTTATGGCAGCCCCAGGAAACTAACACATCCCCTAGGGGGTCTTTTGTATGTCAGGGCCTTGAGATTTCCAGGTTCTTTCTAAGATCCTTCTATCCTGTTCAGTTTACCTACAACAGTACCAAGTCACTGAATGAAGTTTGGTCCTTTTGTGGGTAAATTTCAGTGTCTTCTCCCATTGCTCTAAACTCCTGGTTCTCAAACTTCAGTGTGCTTCAAAAGCATCTGGAGGATTTGTAAAACCCTCATGGCTAATAGCCTATCTTTAGAATTTCAGATTCAGTAGGTCTGCGTGGGTTCTGAGAATTTACTTTCTAACAAGTTCCCAGGTGATGCTGATGCTGTCCGCAGCAGCCCAATAGCATCATTTGGTCTCCAGGCACTGCAAGTCACCCATCAATGTCTTTCAATAAGTTACATTAGAGACTAGACCATCTTTTCTATTGTTACACACAGCTCTATTTTATTCAACTGGGGTTGCAATAAAAGAACTCATAACAGGCTTGCCAAATAGTTGAAAGAGATTCCTTTCAATGACCGTAAGGGGGGCCGAAACAAATAGAAAAGATACAAAGATTTGTGTCAGTGTTATTTATATAAAAAAAAGTCTGGAGCTTATTCATTTCAAACAAGCTTTTATTTAATGTGAACAAATGTTTTCAAGTATGTCTCTCAGTAAGAGTAAAGTCAGATGACATTTCATAACATTTTGGGATGTTGAACTTTGAAACAAAACCAGTATGTTGGGATACAGAAAACCAGAAGCTCCACGAGGAACAAATTCATTTTTTCTTTCACCATCCACTTTCCTAAGCCTTCCAACTGTAAAATGAAATTAGACTCAATTAACAACTACTCATTATTAATATACAAGTGACTTTCTGAATATAAGAGTTAATCCTATATAAACCTGTAAACTACTGTCTCTATAGAGGAAAAACAATGTTTACATCTTGTAATCCTGACTAATCCTGACCCTTCAAACACGATCACACCAACCTCGTTACCTTCTTGCCCATCACTACGCTTAGTTTATTTCTTGTGCGGTCACTCTGTGATTTAAATAAAGCCACCTTTAAAACCTGTCCTCTTTACACAAATAATATATGGTCTTTCATGCCCTCAGACCTATAGTTTTCTTATCCATAAAGTAAAATGTTATCAGACACCCACAACTATGAAAATCCAGAGGAGGGGGGATAGAGGAAATAAACTATGACTTAATTACAATTCAGTGGTAAATAATCATAACTAATTTCCTTTCATTTTGAATGCTATATGAAATACAAAAATCTAAACTGAATATATTTTAATCATGAAATGCAGTCTTACTTGAAATCCTTAACTTTTTACTGTTTTGTAAAAGGTTAACATTTCAGTCATTGATATTATAAGAGGCTACGCTTCTATGGCCAAGTGATGAAGGCACATATAGTGCATGGCTTAACCCCTTTAGCTGCTTCATCTGGTGACCATTCTCTAAAAAACATAGCGCTGTCTGTTGTCGGGTGTGATTAATTTCCCATCTGTAGTGGTCTTATAGCTACAAAATAAAGAACTTGCTGCTGTAAATGAAGTACGTAAAGTTGTCAGTATAGATATGTGTTAGGGTTTGGTTAATTAATCATCAAGGCCACACATTAATACCTGTATGCTCCCTCTGTTGGGTTCACATCCATTTAGGGATCTTCTTCCTCTTCCCCACTTTCAATCACTTCAATCTCTTCATCAGAGCTCTCAAACTTATATTCAGTTGTTTTTTCAGCCAAGAATGACATAAATTTCGGGATCAGAAGATGGCGGAAAAAATATTCCAGTTTAAAATCAGTAACGACATCCACTACTGTGCCTTCAGGATAAACTGGAGAATAGAAATACATTTTTTTTTTTTTTAGAAATACATTTTTTAAAAAATAGCTGGGCATGTTCCTGTTGTTCGATACAACACTTCATGGTCCTCATTTCTGCTGCTTGATAGTTTTTCATGTTTTTTTTCCCTTTCCAGCATATCTTACACCCAGTGCTGCTGATGACTTCTAGCTCACAGGAGAAGAAAAGATCAGAATCGGCTGGTTCTGATTGTATTTGGAATATTTTGTTAGAACTTCACTGGAAAATGTGTTTAAAGAAATTTTAGAATATAAATCACCAATGAGGCAAACCAACAAAACAAGAATAATTCTTAAACTCTATAACAAATATACTAATTTCCAGAGGGAATGGAGGGAGGGGAGGAGGGGAGGGGGGAGGGAGGAGGGAAGGGAGGAGGGAGGCTGACAAGGTGGTGGCACTGGCGCTTTGGTGGAGGGCAAGGCGTTGACACATGAAGGTGTGAAGCTGTTCTTCCAAAATTATAGTTATGTAAACTAACTATAATCATTAGTTTTATATACATATAATTAGGCAGATCAATAAAACTCAAGTAAAATGAAGACAATTTCTATGAGGAAGCTCACTGGTTTCTCAATCTCTAAAAAATACTCCAGTTGCCATTTCATCATTTTCTCCAATCATCTTACCAAGAATCTTCACATTTTTAATAAACCATCAAGCCAAAGTGAGGTAGGTATGTACCATTTGTTTGCCTCTTTTCTTCAAGTTCTCTTTCCATTTCCTCCCAACCTACCTCCCAAACACTCACTTCCTTCTCTGGCCTCATAAATTGCATCATGACTGCAAACCTCTTTTCTGAGAGAGGCAGGTAAAAATCATCCCTTTTTCTCTAGACTGTCAAGGTCTTTACAGAATTGGGTCCACTCAGCCTGAAGTTTTGTTTTGTTTTGCTTTTAAACATTGACCTGTCGCGGGCCTCCCTGGTGGCGCAAGGGGTTAAGATGCAAACTACTAAGTTATCTGCAGCCTCTGCAGCACAAGTTCGATCCCCAGCCGGCCAAGGAGCAACCCACATGGCGCAGCAGACCTCTCCTGCCTCACAGGTTGCTCCCCTCAGCAGTGTATTTCAATCTGCCTGTTCTGCTCCCCGCTCTGTCTCTGGTGAATCCTCTCACCCCCCGAACCTCTGGCCGGTACCCCAGTTCCTCTATGTATAAATAAATAAATCCTAAAAAAAAAAAAAAAACACAAAACATTGACCTGTTGCTTAACCACCTAAGCAAATGCGAAGAGCAGCCTGCAAGAGGACCAAATGCGAAGAGCAGCCTGCAAGGGGACCAACCACGTAAACAGAGGCTAAAGAGCCTAAAGGTGTTGCTTCCATTCACCACCCCCTGGCCTCCTGGGGTCCCCAGGCCCCAGGAATTCGAGAAATCATGCCCCCAGACCTCACCCTCCATGAAGTGATCTCCGCCTCCCGAGCATGCAGTCCCTTTTGCAGGTTGCTCCAGCCCCGAGGTGAGGTATCCCTTTTGAGGTCCTGGCCCTCCCAGACCTCGGTTCCCGGGATGGGGTTCCCTCTCCCAGGTTCTTGGGCTCCAGAGAGGGAGCCTGACCACCACGTGGCCGGGGGCGCCACACGGTCACCAGAGACGAACCCACTGGACCCCGGAAGAGGAATCAAACCGTGCGGTGGGGAACTCACAGAAATCCTCCAGGAATTCTACACCCGGGTCGTCCTCTTTGTCCACAACATTCTCAATCTCTTCTTCGTTGCAGTACTTCTCCTTTCCTTCCTCCTCCTCCTCCTCGTAGTCCTCCTCTTCTTCTTCTTCCTCCTCCTCCTCTTCTTCTTCCTCCTCCTCCTCCTCTTTGTCCTCCTCCTCTTTTCCCTCCTCCTCATCCTGCTCGCCTCCTTCGCCCCCTTCCTCATCCCTATCCTCCTCCTCCTCCTTGTCTTCCTCATCGTCATCTTGCTCCTGCTTCTCCTCCTCATCTTCCTCCTCCTCTTCCTCCTCCTCAGCTTCCTCCTCCTCAACTGCCTCCTGCTCATCTAATGGCTGTACATTCCAGTTTTCCTCAACCATCATCTGAATGGCCTCCTGCCCAATATCTTCCTCCCAGAAGTTTTCCACAAGCGCCTGGAAATCCCTAGGGGCTGCGGGCTCGGCAGCCACGGCCAACAATTCCGCAGGCACCGCCCCGCCCCTGATGGACCCCGGGTCACCACCCATCCCACCTGTGGCTTGGTTCGAGTCATTTGGGGGAAGGCCTCGCTCTTTTGTGGAAGACATGCTCGGAGAGAAGCCCCACTTCGTGACTAAACTGGAGACAGTATGTGGCTGCCGGGACCAAGGTGGTGAAAATGGCTCCCAGCGCGGTGACTGGCGCTCTTCTGAAGCTGTTGGCAGCAGAGCCTGATGGGAAGTGGGGTGGGGGAGGGTAGTCAAGTTGTCCTCCGAGGGCACAACTTAACGGTCGGGTTGCGAGGGGCCTGCCAAGGTCATGTGACAGGAAGTGCAGGGGCGCAGCCTGGGGAGCAGCCCAGCCAGGCTGTGCCTGAGGTGGCGATAGACAAAGTGGGAAAGATTCTGATTGGGCAGAGGATGGGCGCAGGAACCGCCACCTCCCCAACATGAACTCTAAACTCATTGGCTGAGAGGTGATGATCGACAAGTCCTAAGACCAATGGCTTTTCAAGACTCTCAGCTACCAGAGTTCGGGTTGTTCATCGCTTTCCCTTTAAGACCTTAGAGTCTGGGTTACTCCTTAAACCCAGAATGTCCTGTTCTTTAAATTCTGCCAGAACTAGTAAAACTAAAATGCCCTGATTTGGAGGTGCTGTGTTGCACAGGATGTGTAAATTGTTCCTCGATTTCTGCCTGGAGACAGCTTGTGCCAAATAGGGACAGAATTTTTTTGAAAAAGTAAAATTCAGATCTCAGCAATAGTAAAAACCTACCAGATGAGAGGGAAAATTTAGTTTGGACAGTTTTACAGTATTAAGGCTACGTAAGAAAAACCATACAGGGCCTCCCTAGTGGCGCAGGCGGTTAAGCGCAGCGCTTGTGAAGCTGTCCCAGCCTCTGCAGTGCCGGTTCGATCCCAGCTGGCCAGGGAGATCCCCACACGGCACAGCAGACATGTCCTGTCTTGCCCGCTGCTCCCCCCAGCAGTGTGTTTCGGTCCATCTGTCTGTTCTGTTCCCCGCTCTCTCTGGTGAATCCTCTCACATCTCCCCCCCCACACACACACATCTGGCCTGTACCCCTGTTCTTGTATGCATGAATAAATAAATCTTAAAAAAAAAAGAAAAAAATACAACACTGAAATGGATGCAGTTAGAACGGAGCTCAGGTGTTAAACCGGAGCTGAAAGGTGTTTAAACAACACTGCTGAATTTGCTTCAAGCCTCTAAAGAATGAAAAGAGAGAGAGACACTTCTTTTAAAGGAGTAGACTAAGCATGATACACATTAAAAGGCAGACTTCCTAGAATCATTTCTGACAGAACACTACAAGATTTTGTTGCACTAAGCCTCACTTAGACAAAAGCCAATTCTTAAAATTATGAAGAAATTAACAGCTATTTTATACTGATTCTGTTTACGATTGTTACTGGGCACAGCGCAGAAAGAATTCCTGGTGAATTCTCTGGGTTCCAACATACTCCCCCCATCCCTACTACATAGCAACAACTCATGTCTCTGCATGGTGATCAGGGTCAACTTGCTCCACCTCTCCAAGAACTCCTTTCTTTACCTGCTGACCCAATGCCATGAAAAGATTGGAGTGACCAGGTAGTAACTGTAGCATCAAATTCAGTCGAACCCAACCTGTATCCTCTGTTGAAAGGTTCCTCCTAAGACCCAGAACTTTTAATATGGCAGACCCTAATGTTTCCAGGATGGGAAGCATAGATATCTGCAAGCATACTGCATGGAACCATGGTGAGGGGAGTTATTGTAGTCACTCTACTAAGAAAGGCTGGACTCCCCCTTCACACCTAAATTTTGCTTCAGATAACAAGACTGATGACCCCACTCCTACACATACCAGGAAGGTACATCATGAGGATTTAAGGAGAGTAGAGAAACATTCTTAAACTGATCTAAAATGTCTCCATTTTAGAGAGGGGGAAAGGAGACTGGCTTTAGGTTTTTGTTTTGATTAGGGAATGGGGTCAAAGATGAGGGTTCAGATGCACATGGTTCCAACCTTCTAACGGGTCTTTTGATGACATTACTTAGGGTTTCTTGTCAGCCTCCCCAGATGTGAAGTGGAGGGAAAGAGGGAAGGCTGAGGCCTAAGAGTTTACAACCATCAAATGTCAGAAGATGGAATCGGACTCCCGCACATCCCACACATTTTCATTCCTTCGTTCCCAGATTCATGTACACTAAATTTGGGAACACAGCATCAAGTATCTGTTTTTGATTCAGTGTGTCTACCAGACTGCAGAGAAAAGTTCTGTGCTTGAACTGATGCATTAGCTGAGCTGTTCCATCTGGTTGCTAGAATACAGACAAATGTGAAGAAGATGTGGCTGACCATATATAGTCCTCCCTATTGAGCCTGGACCACCCCCGTGAACTGACTCTCAGTTATCTATTTACAGCCCTACAAGGAACTTTAGACTCATTTGCTGATCTTTTAGAGCATGTGCCATCTTATTGACTATGGCAGTTAAAGACAGGTTCCTTATCATAGTCTCTAGGGAGTGGCTATTGATGCCAGGGATATAGAACCAGAGTCAATGTGTTCCCAGATAGGACATCCCTCTTCATCTGGTGTAACAAGTCATCCAATCGGTCTGATAATTCCAGGAGGCAATACATGAATTTAAAAATCACCTATATGCCCAATGGAAAGATGTCCTGTGGTCTATAACCTAAAGGGACTTCTTACACTTGATTTGGATCACCTTTATGTTGGTGTGGTAAAGCCACATGGGCAGTGCCTCAGAGTAGATGCAATTTTAATGTCCACATGTGCCACGGGTGCCATGGGTACCTCAGGAAAACCATGTGGATTTGCATCAGTCATACTGAAACAGGTTGTATGGTCAGCATGTTTGTATATGTATGAAAGGGTTTAAAGTTGATGGCCATGAGCATGGGATATTTTCTTGTTTTTTAAGATTTATTTTTTATTTATACAGTATCTGGAGTATAGGCCAGAGGCGCAGGAGGGTGAGAGGATTCACCAGAGACAGAGCAGGGAGCAGAACAGGCAGACGGACTGAAATAAACTGCTGAGGGGAGCAGTGAGCGCGACAAGAGAGGTCTGCCGCGCCATGTGGGAATCTCCCTGTCCAGCCAGGAATAGAACCCGCGATGCAGAGGCTGCGGACAGCTTCACAGTGCTGCGCTCAACCCGCTGCACCACCGGGGAGGCCCAACCATGGGATATTTTCTAATCCCATAGCATGTGGCTGGAATGACCAACCTTACAGTGGTTCAGTCAGCTGCCGCCACCATTTAACTCAAGTGGACCATGAAGATATTTACCAAGCTGTGTTGCTGGATACAGAGGAGATAAAGCACTGATTGCTCTCCTATCCCCCTACCTGCCAACATACATGGAGTTCCACTCCAGATACTGGGACTGTTGCTTTCCCTCAGATACTAAGATTATTGTTTTCCTTTTATGAGCAAATAGTCTGTTTGTCCTAATCCAGGAGTCAATACCTCTTCCTTTTATTTATCCATTTCCCAGTTGAACCTACATCTATCTGGGTACCAGGTTACATGGGCAATGGCACAATAGTAAAAGTCCAATGTTCCTAGTTGTCCTTTATTGGTACCCAATGAATTGCCACAAGGGTAATCTAGGTTTCACAAATTTTATCAGTCACTTTCCTTGTGATCATTTTCCTTGTAACCTATAACTCACAATGCCCAGTGTCTGAAGCCAGGTGACAGTAAAAGCAAGAGGATGGATTCACCATCCCCTTGTTATATAACTAAGATATTTTAGGGTGATTATAAAGGCTGAAAAACTGCAATCCCCAATGACATTATTAGCTTTCATCTTGGCGAATACATCAGGAAACCAAGGTCAAGCATCCTCAGGGATTTCTTGGAAGTGTGATCACAAGGTAGCTAAAAGCTTCCCTGTGTAATAATATCAAAGATCTACAAAGAGCTTGCACAACTCAACGAAAAGAAAGCAAACTACCCAATCAAAAATTGGGCAGAAGAGCTGAAAAGATACTTTTCAAAAGAAGGACAACAGGTATATGAATAAAGGTTCAATATCACTTATAATCAGGGAAATGCAAAGCAAAACCACAATGTGATACCACCTCACACCAGTGAGAATGGCCCATATTTAAAGAACTGGCATCAACAAGTTCTGGAGAGAATATGGAGGATAAGGAATCCTCTTATACTGATGGTGGGAATGCAAACTGGTCCAGCAACTATGGAAAGCTCTGTGGAGGATCCCTAAAACACTAAAAATGGATCTGCCATATGATCCAGCGATTCCACTCCTGGGAACATACCCAAAGGATACCAAAACACTAATCCGAAGAGAAACCTGTACTCTTGTTTATTGCAGCACTATTTACAATAGCTAGAATATGGAAACAACCTAAATGCCCCAAAACAGAGAATGGATCAAGAAGCTGTGGTATATATACACAATGGAATACTACAGCAATAATACAGCAGTCAAAAAAGATCAGTTCATGCTATTTGTGGCAACATGGGTAGAGATGGAAGGGATTATGCTAAGCACAGTAAGTTAGAAGGAAAAAGAAAAATATCAATGGTCTCACTTATGGGGGAATATAAGGGAACTGAACAAAGGGTCAGGAAAAAGACAAAACTTAGAGGCAAACCACAGAGCTGAGGCATACAGCAAAGGAGGGGGAGGGGGGTCAGAACAGGGGAGGGAAGAGCACAAGGGACTATGGTGATGGTCACAGGTGCTGCGGTGGTGGGATAATTACACCTGAGGGGAGAAATCAAATACAGTACAAAAGTGAACAAAATGTAAGAAATTTTTAAAAATAAAGTTTAGGAAAAGCGTCCCTGTAATTGAACAAGCAGGGCTGAAACATTCCCTAAAGGGATGCCCATATAAGGAGGACAGTTAAAGAATCAGGCTTGCGTTTCAAATACAACATTTCCATTTAATAAAAGATCATTGAGGGCCTCCCCAGTGGTGCAGCGGTTGAGCACTGGGCTGTGAAGCTGCCTGCAGCATCTGCAGTGCCAGTTCGATCCCCAGCCACCGGCGAGGGTCCCACATGGCGCGACAGACCTCTCCTGCCACGCCCGCTGCTCCCCTCAGCAGTGTACTTCCATCAGTCTGCCTGTTCTGCTCCCCGCTTTGGCTCTGGTGAATTCTCTCACCTTCCCGTGCTTCTGCCTATACCCAGTGATTGTATAAATAAATAAATAAAATCTTAAAAAAAATCATTGTACCTTTCCAACTGTCGTGTTAATATCTGAGTGGAACAAACTCAAGATGAGGCTGTGCGGATGCGATATTACCTGTCATTTGTGAGAAAGGCTCTCATGTCCCACAAATGCCCACCAGCAGGCCAATACCTTTTCCCAAGTCATGTAGTGGATGGCTCTGTCAGTGAATCAGTGAGTTCAGAACTCAAAGAAGCACTTTCAGATGGAGGTGGTCTCTCTTGCTCGAAGTTCAAATCACCACAGCTATCAGTAGAAGATACCTAAAGTTCCAAGAGACCCTTGGTGTTTTACAGGCACCAAATATAAGGTTGCTGAGGTAGCCTTTAAGTCAAGCCTTTGATTGCATTTTCTCCTCCTGGAATTCTACATCGTTTCTGTAGTATAATATGGAGGACAGGTGGAAGTCTACTGGCAGTTTTGGTGTAATCTTCTCACCATCACTACTGTACAAGGGATTCTTCACAACTGCAAGTGTCTCCCCTTAGGCTGTCTGAGTACTCACAGTACATCCATGTAAAACTTCGATAGCAAGTTATACGTGAAGCAGTAAGAGTGAGCAATAGCAGTTATACATTAATCGGAAGTGCACAGACAGAGTCTAAAAGGCCCCATCCAATGGTTACAGTTCATTTCCTCCCCTATTTTAAATCATTTCTAAGTTCAGGCAATTCAGTAGTGGCCTTTGCACATCTACAGAATGGATAGGACAGTTGCTTGGACATAGTTTCCAAACAAATCACAAAAGATTGTACCTCTTGCTTTTATTATCTGCCCTATTATGCCCTTGCTGTAGCTTATGGCCTACTGGGGGCTTACTTATAGTCCCCACTTCCTATCAGGATACAGGTGCACTGTATCAGGTCGGATACAGGTCAGAAACTGGAGGTACTTCTAAGTAATTCCCTCTGTGGTAGCCAGTTGGCTTCTTCATTCTTCGTGTGGAGGGAGATTGATTTCCATGGCTCTATAGAGACACTTTCCTTTTAAACTGGATAGACAATTGCCTTTTTGTGTCCCATTCTACTGCCTGCATAGTTCCTATTTGGACCAAACTCTTTTGATGCTCAACCCATTATTAATCTCTTGTTAAACTCCCCCCCCCCACAAATTTAGCAACAAATCCACATTGACTTATGACTACATGTTTTTAAAAGGAATTTATTCTTACTCCCATCCTTGGTTTTATCTCTAATTGAAGAAACTAACTTGGTTGAGGCAGTGTCTATCTTTTCGGAAATTTCTGAACTAATATCACCATGGCCACCCGTGCAGGGTCTCCAGTTACTAACAACAAAGTCAGTAGAGTGCTCTACTTTGGGGAGGGAGAACTTAAGTATTCATCAATCAGCCTCTGGGCGAGAAACTCATTTTGAGATGTCATTCTGGTCACAATACAGTCAGTCTGGAACAGTTTCAGCCATTGTGCTTTGAACACCTTCCTCCTTGGTATTTTCCCCAGGATGACCATTAAGTTGTAGAAAATCTTGTTGTAGGATAGTATTTTGTCTTGACTGAATATTCTGTATGAATTACGGGGTTGTAAGTGAGGGTACTGTTACCATTCACCCCTTAAAAGTGTAAGAGTTCTTATTCTGGCCCTACATGTTTCAACTGAATCTCTATCAGCTCCCATGTCTTGACAAAGGTGGGCTCAAATTTCCCTCCTTTGCCTCTTGAGTGCATCTTACTACTCTGTGTGTGGTCGGTCATGTTGTTGTTTTCAAACAGAGTGCATTTGTGTATTTTTCTCTGACAGAAATCAAGGGTTTACCACTTGTTTTTCATTCTGTAGGGGAGCAATCGACCATGATGGCACCTTTTGGGCAACTGGTTGCAATCATGTCTCTTGTCACTTAGTATCTACCCATCAATTCATCTTCTGTTCGAGAAATAGACTATTGATTCTCTCCCTAATCTATTATTTGAGCAAACACATTGCTTCCTAAATCCTAAGGCGTTTCCTCATATCTCTGAACTTAGCTCATGGGTCCCCTGCTTTTCTTTTCCAATAAGTCATTTTCTATATTGGCACCTTGCTTGCTGTGCCAATCCTTGCAGGAACCCAACTTCATAAAGGCTGTAAAGGAGTAACTAGACTCTAAAGGAAATTACTAAGTAAGAAAACATATTGGCTTGTTATACTCCACAGGTACCAAAAGAAGACAACAAAATTCAATAGATCAGCTCAAAACAGTTTATTACCCACAGCATAGCAAACAGCAGGAGCATCAACCTGGTAGCACCAGTCCCTCTGTGGCCAAGTTCTACTGTGTGACACTAAAAAAATATCTTTCCACTTATTTATTGCTTCTTTGATTTCTTTCACTAGTGTCTTGTAGATTTCCACATATACATCTTATGCATGTTTTGTAATATATATGTGTGTATGTATCATCTTTCAAATTGGAGATATTTTTGTAAATGATGCATTTTCAAATTTCACGGTCTAATTGTTTATTGTTGTTGGATAAGAAGCAACAGAAATCAAAACTTTAAAACACAGGGTTATGATCTGTTAAGCTAACTTACAAAGATTATTTATTTATTAAAGATTTATTTATTTATGCATACAAGAACTGGGGTGCAAACCATGGGTATGGGGGGGCAAGAGGATTCACCAGAGAGAGTGGGGAGCAGAACAGGCAGATCTACTTGAGAATATTACTACTTGAGAAATACACTGCTGAGGGGAGCAGCAGGCGAGACAGGAGAGGACTGCTGTGCCATGTGGGTTAGCATCCTGGCCGGGGAGCAGACTCATGCCCCAGTGGCTGGTGATAACTGGATAGCACTGTCTTTAACCTCTGCGCCACCAGAAAGGACCCACAAAGATTATTTAAACATATACACGTGTGTCTGTATTTGAATAAAATAAAAACTTTCGAGTATATTAACCTGAATTTTTACACTCACAATGTCTCTGTGATGGAATTTCGAATGAGATATATTTCCTTGATAATTTTTAATATCTTGTTTGATGTTTTAATAAGCAATTTTATAATCAGAACAAAAGTAGAAAATAGCATGCCTTTTGTTAACACACACACACACACACACACAAACACACAGCCTTGTCTTTAAGTGAGGGTGAAATTTTCCATGGACTGGAGAGTGATTTCTATATGCCTGTGGTGACTAATTTCCTGAAGGACTGAGTTGTTTCCAACACCTGAATGTTCACGTCACAAAGCTACCTTCTGTTAAGCGGTGATGTTTACTGTAAATGTGTTTCTCTTTCTCTTTCCCGAGAAATATAAAGGGGATACAGATAAGTATCAAATTTTGAGTTGTAAACTTATAAAAAAAATAAACTGTACTAATTCAAAATGTAGAGTTCATTGAGTTTTGAAAAACATACACCCCCTTGTACCCACTACCAAACCTAAGATCTCGAATATTTCCATCAATCTCAAAAGTTCCCTTTCCCTCCTATTCTGTCAATACCACCTCCACACACTAGGGAACAAATAATATATGATCTGTTACTATAGATTGGTTTACAGATGTTTTCTTTCACCCAGCTTAGTGCTTCCAACATTCATCCATGTTGTTGCATTGATCAGTATTTCATTTCTTTTTATTTCTGGATGGGTAGTTTGTTCATTCACCAATTGATGGACATTATGGTCATTTCCAGTTTGGAGCTATTACAAATAAAACTGCTGTGTGTATTCATGTTCAAATCATTCTGTGAATTTCCTTTTCTCTTGGGTACATACTTACATATGGAATTGTAAGTCAAATGGTAAATATATGTTTATATATTCTAATGAAAAACATGTAACAACCCCACAATGTTGCATCCCTGAAAAACAGCAGCAGCTGAGACTAATCCTGGATATCTGATTATTGCTGCTCCTTTTCTGAATTTAATTTGGTTGCAGGTTTAATTCTAGTGTAGCCTTCTCCTATATACTGCAAGGGGTTAAAGATAGCTTTTTGTTCCTATAGATTATTTGATTTATATATTATTAATCTACACTATTTTTTCTAATGACTTAGCAGAAGTTCCCATTGGCAGATGGACTACATTTCCTCATCCACCAATTTTGAGTTTGTTCATTTGATTGCATCGGCCAATGAGATATTAGTCATACTGCAAAATTAGAGGCATGGGAAAACACTTTTGCATTTCAGTCTTAGTTCCTGCACTTTCCCATCACCATGAGAACATGCAAAGACTAATGGTGTGTAAAAGACAAGTGAACCAGAGTCAAATAACCTAGTTTTCTGAAGTGAAGTTTGTCCAATTTAGTGAACAGAAAAATAACACACACGGTGCAAAGAAGCCCAGCCACAATCATTAAAACTGCCCAGTTGAATTCTGACCAATATTCTCACCCATAGACACATGTTCTGAATTGTTATTGTATGTATGTCTCTGAGGTCAGTTTTTGCTTGCATGCATGTGTGTATGTGTGTATGTGTAGCACACCTGACGTAGAATGTAATGTTGAAACTCAAAAACCCTGAAAAATTATGCTAGGGGTTCCTCCCTGGTGGCACAAAGGGTTAAGTCTCAGCACTATGAAGCTATCCACAGCCACTTGCAGCACAAGTTCGATCCCTAGCCAGGGAGCTAACCCACATGGCACAGCAGACCTCTCCTGTCTTACCTGCTGCTCCCTTCAGCAGTGTATTTCAGTCAGTCTGCCGGTTCTGTTCCCCCACTCTGTCTCTGGTGAATCCTTTTACCCCCACACCCCTGGCCTATACCCCAGTTCTTATATAAATAAATAAATAAATAAATAAATCTTTAAAAATTATGCTAGGAATTGGGTCTCCTAAGATGATTTAAAGCTAAAATTAAGAAAATAAATCTGGTTAATGAAGACCTCCCTACTGCATCACCCCATTGCACACTCAGATTAATAAAACTAGAGAACAGAGATGTAGTATGAAACATTTTATCCCGACATTAACAAACAAAAAGTAAGTCACACTCTGCTCTAACTAGGTGACTCTAAAGTAAGAAGAAATCATCTCAATTCTCATGGAATTTGCAGGTAAAATGTCAACATGAAGCAGAATCATTTTTATCAACACTCTGAATAAAAATTTCCAATCTCTACCTAGTTGGGCAGTAAGAGTCATTTATATCTTGATACCTAAGATCCTAGCCATTGTATTTTGTCATGGAGCATTTCAAATGTTATAGTTCCCCCACTTGAGTTTTCTATTTAGATAGATCTTCAGAAAAAAAGACGTGGTTTTGAGATCAAGTCTTCATCCCAACCCAGGCACATCGAGTTTTATGGCCAGCAATAAGACACTAATATAGAAGGTAAATTTTGTGCTTGTCAGTCCATCATCTGTGGAAACATAAGGAAATAATATCCATGCTATGTAAATTATTACTGAGAAAAAAGAAGAGACAAATAATTCCCAAGTCTTTAAATGAGTTACCCTGAAATCAAAAAGGAGAACTGATGCCATTAAATGAAAACTACAGCCTAATATTCTTCATTATTTTAAATGTATTTTATTTTATTATTTTTTTAAGTTTTTTTTTTTAAAGATTTATTTATTTATGCATACAAGAACCGGGGTACAGGCCAGATTCACGGGAGGGTGAGAGGATTCACCAGAGACAGAGCGGGGAACAGAACTGGCAGACTGACGAAATACACTGCTTAGGGGAGCAGCGAGACAGGAGAGGTCTGCAGCGCCATCTGGGACCCTCACCCGCCGGCTGGGATCGAACCGGCGCTGCAGAGGCTGCGGACATCTTCACAGTGCTGTGCTCAACTGCCTGCACCACCAGGGGAGGCCCTAAATGTATTTTAACAGATTAAACTAGAAATATATAACAAGAAAATCACACTATGATGAAGTAGAGTTCCCAGGAACAGAAGTGTGGTTAATTTGCTTCCCTTCCTCTAGATACATGTCTGTGTGACCCTCTGTATGAACACAGCCTAACAGTGAACCAGGTAGCAAATTGAATATAAGGTTAACAAAGACCATACCTTACTATCACAAAGCAGAATCAAGAATGTGGAGTTGAGAGACTTACATATATGTTATACCAACTGCTTACTAAGGCATATTTCGTACAAAGAAAGTAATAATGAGTACTTTTAATAATTTGTCTTTCTTCTGAAGCATAATTAATGAGTATGAAAAAAACTAGATCAATAAAAATCACAATCAGGGCCTCCCCGGTGGCGCAGCGGTTGAGCGCTGGGTTGTGAAGCTGCCCACAGCCTCTGCAGCGCCGGTTCGATCCCCGGCCGCCGGGCAAGGGTCCCACATGGCACGCAGACCTCTCCTGCCACGCCCGCTGCTCCCCTCAGCAGTGTACTTCGGTCCTTCTACCTGTTCTGCTCCCTACTTTGTCTCTGGTGAATTCTCTCACCCTCCCACGCTTCTGACTGTACCCAGTGCTTGTATAAATAAATAAATAAATCTTTTAAAAAATAAAATTGAAAAAAAAAATAAAAATCACAATCAAAACTCAACTGCTGAGACCAGAAGCTTTATAAGGAGCTTGCACCTCATGCACATAGTAATGGAGAGCTGTTTACAAATTTTAATTAATGATGTAACAAGTGAAAAGTTTTTCTTTAGAGCACTCATTTCCAAAATGATGTCCAGATACTGGAGTCCAGGAAACAATGTATTAGTATTCCCATTATATTCATTGTATCTCACATTTCATTTGCTGCAAAATCTGTGCATTTATAATTTACCGTCCCCAATTTTCTTTAAATATATGTAGATATATTATAAATGAAGATACACCTCTCAGGTGCACTGCAAAAATATTTCTTGAAGAGGGATGCATACTCAAAAAGGTTTACTAATTTTGACTCTCCAAAATTCAAGATCACAAAGCGCACACACAGGGAGTCATCTGAGGATACAGAAGAAAAGGAATAATTTGTGACTCAGCCTCTTCATTCTGCTCTTCCTTCAGAAAGAAAGACTTGGTTTTGGGTCCAAGCAGTGCCTGTCAGGCTCCCCTTACAACGGGAGTGACCTGCCCTTATATCTGCAATCATATATTCAATTACTCCAATACCCTTCCATACACACACACTCATGTGATGGTGGGTACTCACATGATCTCATTTCTTGCAAACATCACACACTTTCTGCCTATACACATCCATATTAATGGTTCTCTCAGGGAGAGGTGGCATAGTCCAGTTGTCATAGAAACCATGTATTCATGGTTGATATCAGTTTTCTATGGCAAGTGAATAGTGCCTCCTCAGAAGCAACATTTTAATCTCTACCTTGGAAACTTGAACCCCTCCCAATGCAATAAATGAATGAATAAAAAAATTAGAGGAAACATCAGAAACATACCAAAGCATGTGCACTGAAGAAAAAATGCTTCGATACAATGGTTTAGGGAATGATTTCAGACAGAAGGGTTGACTAGTTTGACTTTCCTGTCAGACACACACCTGCATTCTAGTCCCAGTTCAGGATACACTTAGAAGCGGTCCCTAAAATTCTGGGGCAGACGGAGATCTCAGAATCACTCAATTCTTATTCCACCTTCATTTCCATGTGGCATCCGATGATGCCAATTTTGAAGGAAAGGGAGAATGGAGAGCTATTCAAGAGACACCTGCATGCCCTCCATAAGGGCCTTGGATGTGAATCACATGGCTGAAGTGCTTTAAAATTTAAAGTACTACACTTAAAAATTGAAAGGTGAAATACCTGTGTAGTTCTCCTGAAAGCCAGAATTTTGATGTATGTTCCACTCTTTTCTTTCCCTACCCAGGAAGAAGCCAAATCTTGGGTGTTTTCTCCTGACCATGCTTTGCTGTGCCAGGGGTAAGAGATTTGGTGAGTAAATAACACCAATTTTCCTACCACATCTACATGACCACCAGTAGGAACTTAAGTGGTTTCTGGATTTCTCACAAATGCAGTTTGTCTGTGCAATGTTGTGCCACTCTCTGCTGGGTGCAAGAGGGCCTGCCATTTTGGTGAAACTCTACTAACATTCCTTTTAAGGTAGATTTGGGAATTTTTGTTGGAATTCCATAGAATTTACAGATTACTTTGAAGAGAATGTATTAATTTATAGGTTTTCCCCTCACATTGTTAATAAGTATTCATATATTACTAACATATAAATGGTAATTATTACAAACATGAAAATTGTGAAACTTCTCTTTCTTTTTAAAGATTTATTTATTTATGCATACGAGAACTGGGGTACAGGCCAGAGGTGCGGGAAGGAGAGAGGATTCACCAGAGACAGAGTGGGGAACAGAACAGGCAGACTGAGTGAAATACACTGCTGAGGGGAGCAGCGGGCAAGACAGGAGAGGTCTGTTGCGCCATGTGGGTTGCTCCCTGGCCGGCCGGGGATTGAACTCGTGCTGCAGAGGCTTCCGGATATCTTCATAGTGCTGTGCTTAACCCCTTGCACCACCAGGAGGCCCACTTCTCTTTCATTTCTTTTCTTTTAGAGGGGAAAGTTTCAAATCTATTTTATTTGTTCAATCATGCCACATTTAAATGGGTACAGTGTTTTTTCTTGGCTCAATTATAATAAATTGCCTTTGAAACAACTCAGTATTATACCAACTGGGATGAATGTTGATATCCATTCCCTTGGGATAACTCTGCAAACAGGGGACAGATTCCATTTTACTCCAACTGTGTTTGTTGTGTGTACATCTATACAGCAACACAAAAAACAGTTCCATTAACTGATAGAGCATTATCATATTTTCATGGAAATCAGGTCCATTTTTAGCAGCTCTACCTCGCCGTTGTTTGCTGAATGTTTTGAACTTGGAGATGATTTAAAGTGTTATTGGCTAAGGGAAACATGGAGAAGCTGAAGACAGAATTGCAGTAACTATAGGTGTTGGTTTGGTGTAATTTCACCTCAAGTACCCTTGCCCTGCCCTCTTATTTCTTAAAAAAAAAAAAAAAAGAAGATGATTTTAGAGTCATTACTTATATTGTAAAAATAAACTTGTGAATAAAAGAGGTATAACTATTCCAATTAAGAAATTTTTCACAATGAAATCTTCATTTTCCCATCCATTCTTTAAAAATAAACCATCACAGAGACTTTCAATTCTGCCAAAGTGAAGTGGCACCACTCCTCCCAGTATCTACTCATACAAAAAAAAAAAAATTCTGGAAATAGCACAACAAAACAAGCATAGAAATACTCTGAAAGGAAGAAAGAAGATGACAGACTCTAGAAATATGATTGCAGAAGTGAGGCTAGTAGAAGGGGAGGGAGGTTGGGGGCCCAGTGGTCTATGGTAAAGGATTTATGGGGTACTTTGGTTGGGGAGGTAGTGTAGAGACATACGTATGAAGAAGAGTAAACTTCAATCATATACAATGTGGTAAACCCATGTTAACTCAATTAGAAAAATATATGAATGGGGCCTCCCTGGTGGTGCAAGGGGTTAAAGCTCAGCACTTGAAGCTATCAGCAGCCACTGGAGCATGAGATTGATCCTTGTCCAGGGAGCTACTCACATGGCACATCACACCTCTTCTGTCTCACCTGCTGTTCCACTTAACAGTGTATTTCAGTAGATCAGCCTGTTCTGCTCCCCACTCTGTCTCTGGTGAATCCTCTCACCCCCGCCTCCCACACCTCTGGCCTACACCCCAGCTCTTGTATGCATAAATAAATAAAATAAATCTTTAAAAATAAAGATATGAACAAACACAAATAAGCCTGTTCTTCCTAATGAAAGGATTGGAGAAAGAGTGTAATAGCAATAGAAAATCTTTTTGTAATGCCTTTCCTATTCCAACCAAACACCAGTGATAAAACGACCTCTCTACCATGATTTAAGTAGGTCAAAGATAAAAGAAGCTGATCATATACTCCACCCTACTCCTGTCCCCCAGAAATTGGCAAGAGTACTCCAGTTTCCCCACTTGTCCCTGGTAGTATCAGAACAGTCAGAGAGCTAATCTTCCATCTTCCACCTCCCACCTGGCAGAGGCAGGCAGTGCTCTGATTCCAGTCATGGTAGTGTCAGCAAGTTCTAATAGCCATCTAAAAATCCACCCATACACAGCATCAATGAGACTGAACGAGGTGGTGCAAATGAGGGATACTCAACACTCCACTTTACTCTGACACTTATGTCAAGGAGACCTAGTAGGAAGCTGAGCTTGCACACTTATCCCCATAAAATCCTCCAGCATTGACAAGGGCAGGTGATAGGTGGTGGAGCTAGTTGTTATTATGCCCATCCTCTGCCAGTATCAATTTGGAAGCTTTCCCTCTTTCTCAATGTTCTAGAAGTGTACAAATAAGATTGGTATTAATTCTTCTTTAAGGGTTTGGCAGAATTCACCA